GCATGCCATCTGCCTTATGCTGCACGACATCAGCAGCCGAGCCACGAGGCTGCCCTGAGAAACAAGGCACCCAGGGACCAACGTTGTGTTGAATTGATCAGACCCGTAGCCATATGCGTGATCAAGCTGATCTGTGTTTGCTCTCTCTCTCTCTCTTGTGTCAAAAAGATTGATTGGGACGTGCGAATCGCTTTTGTTCTTAATGACGTCTCAGGATATTTTGTGATTGATTGACATGGGGACTGACAAACACCCTTCGATTGGGCGCCAGCCTCCCGTATCTCCCATCCCAACGCGACCTTTTCCTTACAGTGAGGAAAGGACACGTGTATGTGAGTGGGACGTACGAGAAGCCGTTGCACAAATCAGCGGGCAGTATTACTTCTCTCCGGCCAACCGCTGTTCCGGGTTCATAGAAGCCGGGTTCGTTATTATCGATACACACTTCCCACCTTACTCGGTATTGTTGCCATTTAACGAGTTGATCGTCATCCCGTGGACGGCAGTAGAACCCCACTGGTCGCGCACTCTGTGCATCGAGTGCCAGCGTTTTGAGCGCTACGAGTCTAGGGGTTTCCACTACCGTGTGGGGAGTGAAGAGGAGCATAAAGAAAGAGCCACGCGACTGAGACCCTCCACGTCAGACTCAGAATTAACCAGCGAACGACGACGAGACTTGATACGAAAACGGGATACGCGAAGCGTGCCCAAGCCTTTCTGTTCTAAACGACGGGCTGTAGCCTGGTGGGAGGCACGACAATACTTTTTGGATTGAATTTGGATCTTTCCCTCTCTTCCCGCCTTGCCCGCGCGCGCATTCCGCTACGAGCGAAAACAATCGACTCACTCCAACGGACCAACACGGGGATTTCAGTTCCGTCTGTGTCCCCAACTCAATTTCCAAAAATCCTTGGCACACCCCATCTTGCTGTTTTTCTGGGCCTCTTTTCCGCACAGCTAACACTCCGAACGGAAGACTGCACAGGGCGTGAGGTTGCGCGTCACAGGCGTGGCATTTAGGGATCTTGGTTCGGAGTAGCCTAATCCATATGGAAGGCTTTTTTTTTGGCTGCAGACTTCTCGGGTTTGAATTTAGTTAAAAGTTTCACCATGTGGCAGCAGAATCAAATTTCAGTTTCGATCACTAATCATCAAGTGTTCTTGATGTGGCATGTATGCTATGCACTAAGGTGCTTTTCATGTGGTCTCTATGTAAAGCTAATGTACTAAGTGCTGCTATGTAGTATGTACCTAGGGAGATATCCCGGGCGCCTGGGTCCGGATGTCACGCTTGGTTTGGCGACCGGGTGACCAGCCGGGCATGACCCCCGGGCATGGGCCTGGGCAGCCCCAGCGCAAAAAAAGAAAATCCTTCAAAATAATCCTCTAAAAAAATCTGGAAAAAAAAATGTTGTGTAGAATTGCAATACAAACAACTTTTGGCTGAGGGTCACATCAGAATTCTTCACGGAACTGAAGATAAAAAAAAAATAAAAAAAAATCACACTAAGGCACCCCCCTTTAAACCCCTTTAGCCCCTTTAAAATTCATTTATACTCCCCTTTTCCCCCCTTGACAGCCAACTGTGAGGATTGAGCCCTCATCTAGGGGCCTTGCCATGATGAACATGTTCTGGGCTAAGGCCCCAGCAAGCCTAGTGCCCGCCCTAAGTGAAGGCGGGCCAGCAAATCGACAAATGCCCTCTGGGCAACATTCCACGAAGTGGGGTCCATACAGTTGCAGCACGCCAATTGGTTGGAGTGCACCGAGTCTCTGATTTCAGCAAATGCTGAAAGCCCAGGGCCTCTGAGTTGGTTTGGCCCTGGGCATCTGAACGTGAGGCCGACAATGCATGCTGGGAAGAGAGGCCGAAAATGCCAAAGGGAAGTCGTCCCACTGTCTGAATCTGGGCGCAGGCCTTGATGAAGGAGGCGCAACTGCCTTACCCCGGGGCCCAACTGTATCGAGTTGGCTTCAGCCTCTGGGCCCCGGTCACAGGCTGAAGGGAGGCCGCCCACATGCTGCACTGGCATATAGGCAAGCAGGGCGAGGCAGGATATACTTGGCCAATGCTGGCATATGCGGGCACGCTGCGCAGATG